GCTTCGTCTACTGCTTTACTGAACTACGAACGGCCACTGATTGTACTTCCTGGTTCTCTGAGTCAGTTTCTGCGATGCTTGATCCAGCACCCTCCTGTCCCCCATACCCCACACTGGGGATTACTCAGTGACAGTGATACACCCTCTGCTCTGAGTAAAGGATTCCACAGGTCTTTCTTTTATGCTGCTGTCAGACTGTACACTGAGCTATCTACAATGAATACTGCTGACCCTGTACACATACCATTCACTAATGAGCAATACTGAAATAATATGGCAAGAAACCATAATTGGCAAAAAAAAATTTGTCATTTGCCAAGTGGCCAGTTTTGAAATAAATCCGCAAGAAGTAAATAAAAGGGAGACTTTTAACACTTGGAAGGCGGTTCTGTGGTTATAAGACCAAAATTTACTGTTTGGCCTAAATGCAAATGTATGTGCGAAACACAGTCAATGCTCATCTCCCTCAGTGTATCATCTCCAGTGTCAAAAATGATGTGGGGAGCATCATACCTGCTTTTCTTCAGCAGGGACAGGGAAGAGAGTCAGCATTGATGGGAATGTCGATAGTGCAAAAATCAGGACGATCTTGCAAGAAAATTCACCATATAGTCTCAAATCTTTTGCAGACCTACCATCAGGCCAATTTCCCTCAACATAAAGGCTTTTCATACAATAGAATAGTTTACCTGTGGAAAGACCTGAAATCTGCTGTCTTCATCGAATCATTGTGATGTACTTTTTTGTGTATCTTGTGTGCAGGACTTTGGTAAACATTGTTGTGCTTAACATAGATTAGTAATTGAAATTGTATAGGACAGTTATGGCAGATATTGAAGAATATAGATGGGCTTGTTCACACTAAAGGGCACAAAAGTGTGACAAAAGGCCAAAAATTAGATTTTAATAATAAGAAGATATTTTATGTTTTTCATGTTTCCAAGCACCTCCTCTGTCCATTAGAAGTTGCTAGAACATAACTGTTTTATACATTAGACAAGTTTCCTATAGCGGCCCTGTTTATTTTATCTAACGGACGTGATGATTTGACGGAATGAGCTTTGCGGAAGTTTGATAGGTATTTTCAGATGTCCACAATTGATTCCGAGATTCTATTTTTTTACACAGAGTAGAAACAAAGTGATACTTTCATTTAGTCAACCAATTAAATGTGAAACCAGACAAGATTTTTTTCTTTCTCAAGTTAAAATTTTAGAGAAAAGAGGACGGAAACCATCACGTCCGTTATACATTTTTCAAGGGTCATTTCATTAATTAATTATTTTTTAATTTTTAACAATTCCTTTCCATATCAAGTGATTTCCTGATGTTGTGTTAACCATGTAAATATTGTGGGATTTCATCTGCCGCTTTTTCAGACTGAGGACATTTTATTATCTATGTAACTGGCGTCACAGTAGAATGGTCAAAAAAGAGGCTGATTTTGTCGTTTAAAATGTCACCAAAAATATATTTGACAATCTTTCCTTTTGATTTTATCCACACTATCTCTTTGATGTGTCTGTGTTTGAAATCTTTTTTCCAATCTATGACAGTAATTTTAGTTTTTAAGTTATAACCTTTTAAAGTCGAGATACTTCAATTGACACTTAACTGTGAACACACTCAGTATACCAAAAGATAACACACTAGGGCTGTAACAAGTGGATTGAACAATCACAGCTTATCGATTATTGAAATAGTTGTAAACTACTTTAGGCAAGGCAAGTTTATTTGTATAGCACAGTTCATAGGCAACGCAAAGAGTCATCAATCTGAAATGCATTGTTTAGCCCTGACTCTGGGCATTAGCAGGAGGCCAGTCTCTGTACTCCTTAGAGTCCGAGTTGGTTCATATGGCACCATGTCACGAATGTACTTAGGTTCAAGGCCTTGGAGAGAACTAGACTAATGTGATCATACTTCCTGGTTCTAGTCAGGACTCAAGCTGCAGTGTTTTGAATACACTGCTTTTTTTAGAGCTCGTTTGGAGAGCGCAGTGAACAGGCCGTCACAGGAGTCTAGGAGACAAATGCATGGATAAGAATCTCCAAGGCTGCTTTAGACACTCTATTTTTAATTCTACTTTAGTATTTGATTGTTATTTGTACTTTACATAGACTTGAACATGCTGAGAACAGGTTTTATGACTCCGATAAATTCTATAATGACCGCCAAAGGAAATTAAAATGGATTTACAAAGTATTTTTAATCAAGTACCCAATGTAACATGTCTCTATGACATGTTACATTGGGATGACATTGATGCATTACTTGAGATTTGTTTTAGTCAAATGCATGAAAAAGTCCCTTATTCACTGATCTTCAGGATTTAAACAACTTATCTAAAGAACTATTGGCCAACTAAATTATTATAATTACAACCCTAAAACTTTATTATTATTATTAAAAGCATATTATTTACTGTCCTGACGTTAGCGTTCATTTTACTTTAGCTCCAATGGTCTGAAAGTGAAGCTGTTTGTTTGACTCCTTTCTCTGCTCATTTTGCTGCAGACAGTCTGGGGTGTAGAGCTGGGGGTAATGGGGGGCTGCGAACATGGCGGCAGGCCAGAATCAATTGCCAGTGTAATGAGATGGCCTGGTGCCAGGTAACCATGGAGCTGTACCCCGTGTGCCTGTCTGCAGCAGTGAGTTCAAAATTAAACTGAATGAAGGAGTATGGGAGAGGGGGGCAGGAGTAAGAGTCTGGAAATGGCAGGAGTGGAGGATGAGTGAAAAAGGGAAAATAGCAGAAGTACAAGGCTGATTAAGCTCCAAGCGACTTCAGAGGCGGCCGCCGATTTGAGAGTGGTTCTACCCAACCCCGATGTTTACTCTCCACTGTACAATGTCCGCACCCGCAACAAGTATGCCTGACTTTAGCTGCTCTAGTTTAGACATGCGGCTACATACTTTTTCTACAGTTTATCTTGCGGCCCATGTTGTTTAAAGTACTATGAATTCCATCATGAGATTTATTATATTGTTAATATATTGTCCTATGTCTATCATTTGTTTTGGAAAATTATCAAGTAATGCAAATGGCTCTGCCCAGATTGCAATGGCCACTTTGGTTCTGTTTGTGTTGGGCTCGTCCTGAGATGACCTGTGCATTAACTGAGCAGTTCTGGGTGAATATATGCATTAAAATGGCATTAAAATGGTCGCTGAGCGGTGGTGAGGCAGTCGAGACAGTGGGCCGACGCGTCTGTGCTGTGGATTAATGGGAGCACTGGAGAAGGGTGCCGCAGTTGCGCGTGAGCAGAATATTTGATGTGCCCAGAGTCGGGGAATTAGAGATGGGAGCTGTGAGAGACAGGCAGATATAAAAGACAGGTGAACAAAAGATGCACACAGGTTCATTTGTATGTTTAAGTGGCTCATGTTCGATATTCAGTTTTTGTTTGTAATTTTTGATTGTTTAAAATCAAAAGAATGAGGTAATTTTATGCTATAAACTTAAATAAATATGTTGTTTTATCTTTAATAAGCATTTATTGTGAAAAAACAAAAACAAATATATAACAAGCCTGATTTCTTACCAAGTTATATGCTGCACAAACAGGACTATAGGCAAGGTAATATACTTTCTTAATTTCTTGAATCCATGTGTATGTTTCTGCAATACCTATAATTATGGTGTTTAAATCCAGATCGAGATCACTTGAGACATCCTCATTAAAATGTAACTGTTTTTATAATCTGTAATTTTGTGAAATTGTTATAATCTTATTATAATCTTGTATGTAACTGTATGTAACTTTTGTCCAGGACTCCCTTGAAAAAAAGGTTCTTAATCTCAATGAGACTTTCCTGGTTAAATAAAGGTTATCAAAAAAAAGGATTTAAGAAGTTGATTATCTCAGTTTTAAACACTCAAATGCATCAATAGATTTTTTTTGTTGCTTCTTCCTCAGACCTGATTGAAGGTTTTGAACTATTATGGAGACCGTGAATTCTGTGCCACTGCCCTTCTGACACATTTGGTTTGTAGTTAAAATATACAAATTTGTGTTTAGATCGAGGTCTTGTATTACACAAGTAAGTGTGTAATACCCCCTAAGTAGGGTTGTTACAATGAATCAATAAATCGCAAATATTCAGTATTAGATTATTAAATGGTTCAATATGTTCTGCGAGATTTTATTTTATTTATGCAATAACGAATGCCCCACCCCTTTTATAAGGCTGTGTTCAATAGATTCACCACAAACTATCACTCATTTTACTTTTTGTGATGTTTTGACTGCTTCTCTGCGGTTCATCTGTATGTTTTACCATGCACTGGCAGGTTTGTGTTTCCCCGGCCACAGAAGCCGAGGGGTATCTTGTGATGCCTGTGTTGGCCACTGCTCGCATCATCGTCTGTTTGAGGAGCTCTTTTCTGTGTGAATGTGTTCAAACGACTCTTGGCGATAACACACAAGTAAAATGTGTTCAGATTTTTACTATGTGTTTGCATATGGAGGAACACCCCAGGAACTGGTTAGCATTCAGATCTTCTTTTGTTCAAAATATTCTTCCCAATGCTGTAAACAAAAAGTATTTGATTAGCTTGATTAGATGTTTTATGTTAATAGAATAAATGAATTAATGAAATATTTATTTCAAAACCTGCACACATAATTTTAAAAACAAAAGCAAGTACAGTATAGTAGTATTCTAAAGTTTAACTTGTAAATTGTTCTAACATTTGGGAGTGAACAGAATCACCTATTCTTATTTTCTTTTAGCTCTATGCTACAGAGTAGATCAGAATTTATCATGATATGATATTTCAAGCCTACAGGAGAGCTGCACTGACACAGCTGTTGCTGTAAGAGGGGCTCAGGACAAAGGGCCGAAAAGGCACAGATGCTGCTTGGATCGTCCAGCCCACCCCAGTGATGCCTCTTTTGGATCTCAGCCATTTTGGTGAGAGAAAAACATTTGCCTGTGTGTCAATGGTGATTTTATTGTGCACCTGAGAAGACCACGTCTTGACCTTAGGAGGCCACATGTCTCAAGGTAAACTGTGAAAAACTCCGGTTTGGACCATTTACATGATGTTTGCTTGACTCTGGTTCACTTCGCTTCTCTGTGCTCACAGATACAGTGTCTTTTGAATTAGTTTTTCCCATCAACAAATTGTATGTTATTTGTAAAAAGAAAATAGGAAAACAATATGTCCAGACATTATTAGCAAAGGACAGGGCTGTATCCTGGGATCCTGCTGGGATCCAAAAAACCATGCCGAATGAAGCACTGAAAAAAAGAAAACACCCTTCCTTTGCTTGGTCACAAATTCCACTTTCTCAGTGGCCAGCCCTGCGCCGCCACTCCTCCTCATCCACATCTCACTGCATTCAACCTTTTGCCATGTCTGCCTTTTGTACTGTTTTTAAAATAGCGATTTGATTTATTTTTTTATCCGGAAAATAGGACGCACAGACTGGGTTAGAGACAGGACCAAAGCGCCTGGATATCGTAATATTAATGTTATTTTGTGTCTTGTATTGCTATTTTAGTTAGTTACATGTTGTATTTTCTCATCAGACTGTACCACGTGCTGGGTGGAACATGTGCTCGTTGTGCGTACGCTATACATTGGCCTACTGTCCTACTCGAGCTACAGTCAGATGACAGAAGACCTCAGCGTGGCTGGTGGTATGTAAACCATCTACCATTTATTCTTGTCTCTTTGTCCTTGTTATTTAATATGGTACTATTTTTTTCATTGCGCATCTTGTGTATTTCAACTTGATGCTAACAATTTGCTGTTGATTTTTATAAATTCTGTGTGTTTGCAGATTTGTAAACATATAGTCAAACACCTGTTTTTGTATTAATATAAAAAATGACAGAACAAAACTTGTGTATTTTTAGTAATTGTGAAACGGCAGCTGTTTTTGTCCTTTTTGTGTTTGACGATTCGCTCCCAAACAGACTCATGTTTCTCCTTTACTGTTTTTTAGCTTTTTTCAGATTCATTTAAAATAATATTATTTACACATAATATTATACATTCTTATGATTTATTTTTGGTTGGTTGATACTGGTTTTTTGACCTTGAAGTGTGTATGTACGTTATTATAGATTTCACTGTTATATATATTTAAAGATACCTAAATATTGAATCCTATTTAGTTGAGGGCTTTTCAGGTGTTTAGTCTTAGTTACAAATACCCGACAGAGTAAACATTGTGAGCGATGCGGAAGCCAGCTGCCGCAAACCCGTAGATCCGAACTTGTGGTGACTGGCTGCACAAGCTCGCATCTATAGGTCTGTGTCTACCTGGCAAACACTACACCTGCATCTGTTTTAGGAGTATTATCTGCGTTTTCTTTAAATGGCTGCGTTCCAGTGGTGTGTACAGTTAGTAAGAAACCTCCGCGTCATTATGATGCAGGACTTCTCACCGACAGGAGGGTGGGGCCAGCTTGTGCCAATAAAAAGAGAGTTTACTTCTGTGATGCAAAACTACACAGTAAGCACTCTGCATTGCTTATGTATGGTTGATGCTTTATAAATATATTTGCCTCCCCTTAATCTAACTGCAGGGGAAAAAAGTGCAACCTGTTTAAATTGCAGATTTTTGACTAGCTTGCTTGTTGCCATGAATATATTATGAATTTTCAATATTTTTCTATTCCACTTCTAGTATATTTAATTATGACTGGGCTATCGGGGGAAAAAAATAATCACCTATTTAAATGATATTGTATTATATTTATAGGCACGGAGAGAACATTTAACGTATTAAATTAAACTATGCATATTTAAGATATTGTTGAAGGCTGTTTCTGGGTAAGCTTTTCTCCAAAACAGTGAGTTTAGGAGAAATATTGATTGATTTTGATTGTAGATGATAATTAGGCATGAGAAAAGTTGAGATTGTGATTTTTCCATAATTCAATTTTTGGCACAGCCATATTTAATAACAAAAGTAATAACACAATTAATTTCTTACTTTTGGTCGGTGGGTCTCCGCAGATATAACCTGTAATTTAGCTTGGTGATGTCACTCGATGTAAATGAATTGATTCAATGCTAAACAGTGGCTCATAAAAACAAGCAAGTGGCCGAACTTCAAGCTTAGTCGTAGTATTCTGTTTGAAAATGGAAATATTTGCACCACTCTGCCATGCGGTGTTTGCTGGTGTCTCGCAGGTTGAGGTAGTAGGTTGTATAGTTCAGAGTGATATCAAAGGAGATAACTGTACAGCCTCCTAGCTTTCCCTGAGAAACACTTAATAGCTCTTTGTGTGACATTAAATGGGAAAAAAATGCTAATACCAAATTGAAATGATAAGCAATGAAATAGTGTTGTTTAGTAACAGATGCACATAGATCATACAGAATAAGAAAAGACAAAACATATAACTGTGTGAGATGGTGGGAGTGAAGCTTGTGGGTACAAAACTAATGAAAGAGATGCCACTGGAGGGAGACGGCACACAGCCACAGGGGAAGAAGTTGGTCACGGCAGCCAATTATGTACAAAGTTCAGTTTCACTTAACCAAAACGCTATGTTTCCTGTGTGCAGCTCTGCGGTTCGGCACCACTGAGATCACAGAAGGTTGCAACAACTTTCTCTGTCCCTCACCACAAAAACCACACAATTGTCCACATTTCTTTTTTTGCAATTATGTACTGTAGGTCTTTGTTCATAGGACAAACTAAAACTTCCCATACAAAACACAGTGACGGAAGGTACAAGACTATATGCACAAAACAGAAGAATTACAAGTTGTTGTTCATAATGTGTATTGAAAAGCACAATGAACAGGTGGAGTTATAACTCGATAATGATTGTTGTTGAAGTATTTTTTTTTACTTAACTTTTTGAAATATTAAATTTGAAAGGCTCTTGTGGTGCATTTGTAAGTCATTCATTGTGTTTCAGGTTTCGTATTTGTGAAAATTTTGCGTCAAGCTGTAAAATTAAACACTCTAATTATGTTTGTATATAGGCTATTCCCCTTTGTACAGTAATTCAGTGTTGTCAGAAGGAGCTGGTATTGTGCAGAGACCTGGGCTTCAGGAAGTGCCGCGATGAAAGACTGTTTCCACTTTTCTCTGTGTCCCAAGGCCAGCGGGTTCAGTAGTGGTGGGGTAAGGCGCTTCGTTTAGGGGCCATCGGTACGAAGTAGATGCAGCAGGATATAGAAGCCTGTCTATGTCACTACTCTATTTCAGTCATCTCTTAGTTAATTGTTAAAAACCATTTTAGCTTAGTTTGAGGTTGTTGTAAAGGGTAATGTGTTACAGTATACAGCAGGAGGCAGCGGGGAGCCCTGTTGAACTTGTTACCCCCAAATGTAAACCGCCTCTTCGTGGAATCTAAGGCTATCTTTTTGTCTCCATTGACATTTTCATTAAATTGTGCATTTTAGCTGCTGTTCTAATGTTAGTTCAATGTGTGGTCAAGTTTCAGAGGAAGAGGGAGTGAAGAAAGCCTCTGTCTGTGTATCACTGTTGCATGTGATGGGTAACGAGACAGGCAGCATGTGATTGCCAGCCCAAAAAGACTACAGCTAAAATGCACTCTCCAAACGCATTTCATCCATCCATCCATCCATTTTCTACCCTTTAATCCATTTCTGGGTCAGGGGGGTGGCAATCAGAGATGCCACCCAAGTCTCATAGCACCAGCCCCTCACTGACCCTCTGCAGGTGGTGAGTCCACAGGAGGGTGGCTGCTCTCTGAATGTGAGCATAGCCTTGATCTTTCAGTGGGGGCTTTGGGCAAAGTGGGGTTAAATGTCTTGCCCAAGGACACAACGACAGCAGTCATCAGTGGGAGTCGGTGGAGAAGGAAACGCATTTCAGGATCACATAAATCTAGCTCTCCGGAGAAGTGTGGAGAAAGAGTCTCCATTCACGCTAAGATGGATGGTGGGACCACACAGGCTTTTTCTCTGCTGTCTTTGATATGAGCCCACGAGCACTGGCTGTCGCAAAATCACCATCGTTTGTATTGTATTTTACTTCACAGTAAACAGTTTGGCTTGACAACACCAAACTGATACCATATAAATCGGCACCAGGATTCCAGTAAGATTTTCTGTGAACTTGTTGCCTTCTCTCACTGGCCCTCCCCGTTTTCTTTCACGGTTCGTCCCACCCTCTGATTCCTCTGTGCTTGCTAAGAGCCATTCACTCTTACACACACAGGGAGAGTGAGGCACGAACTGAATACCGGACTTTCCAAATCTTCAAGGATTTAGGTTTTTTTGGAGCTTCAAACGAGATTGTAAGACAAACTGTCTCATCTTATCTTATGTATTAAATCTTCTCCGTCAATTATAATACTAAGGCTGCTGCATTTTTTATCCTGCCATTGTGTGCGTGTGTGTGTGTGTGTGTGTGTGTATGTATGTTTGCATGTGCATGTGTGTGTGAGTGGGGGTTTAGCTACTGAAGTTAATGAATGAATATTGTTTAACGCTGAGCAGTGCCATGTACACAGAGCAAAGAGAACTACTACTTTGCTTTTGGGATTTTGAGCTATACAGCCAAGCAGAGGAAGTAGCCTGTACAGAAATGCCAACATTTAAAGCAGTCTGTTTGATGAAGATATTGGAAGCAGTAGTGATGTCATTGGAGGAGAGCAACAGGCGGGATAGGATTTTTCCATCAAACACTGCCGGGAATGTTTTCCTTTCAGATGCTGTTTCTCATCTGATAAAATACAATAACATTTCTCCTATTATTGTTTTCACAGACAGTGGAAAGCTTTAGGGGATGCCAAGAGCTGGTGCATGTTCGATCAAATGTAGTAGTGCGCAACTGTGTCACGTGTTGGACTTTTGTTCTACCTACACTGAGTCAAATATTCATGCTAACTCATGTTGTTTTACATCATAATCTAATTATATGCATTCTCTTTAACAGCATTGACCTTTTCTTCTACACACACCCTTATCATAATTTATACCTCTTCCATTTCTCATCTACTAGTGTTTGGTTTGGTCCAGGCACAGGGTCCAGTTTACCTGCGCTTCCTTTCGTCTGCGGCGTGTATCTGTCTCCCTCTGTTCGCCGGCACATGGTAAAGTCTTGCATGTCTGAGCAGCAGACGGCTAGACACTACCAATCTGCTGCTGCCGCCGCATGTGCGAGTCTAAAGGCATCTACTCAGCAAAAGCCTTTGCTAGCACCACTAAAAATCCTCTCCTCTTTCTCTCCTTGCAGCTCAATACCTGCTTCAATAATGCGTCTTGTACCGTTTACCCATGGCCTCTCCTGTGCCTGCCTGTCTGCTCAGATGCTAGGCTGACCAGTGCGTAAGGAGAGGGTACTGCGGCAGCCTATCTCTACTCTACGGGCAGTCGGGTGAGTAATCAGCCTCCTATTTTTCCTCCTTGTCAATATTATTCCATCCTGTCCACCTCTTGCGACATGATTTCATGCATAAGTGATGCATGAGCACTGGCTCTCTTTGGGCTTGACTAGCTTTGGCATGTGATATGTGGCATATGGAAAGTAACGTGCGCCTATTCTTTCTGTATTTCACTAAAACAAGATCACACTCATATTCTTCTGGGCAATGCTATACTCCCATCCTGTTATTGCTAGGAATATTGCTTGCAGACCATATTTTGAAGCATTATGCTATGTTTTAAATCAATCTTTCACCTAGGACAGTATAGCCAATAGCCTTTCTTATGAAAATCATGTAATTATAAAGTGCTTTGTATCTGAATGTGCTACATCACGCCTTGTTTAATCTCTGCTGTTTATGCATGTGCCCTAATTGAGATTAGGTCCAACATTGTTTATTTTGTGCTTGGCATAGTATTGGCATCCATCTTACACCTTGATTTACACATTTATTGAGTGAAACCATTGCACATAAATGGGCTGTGTACATGCGTACAAGCGTTGCACAAACTTGCTAAAGCACAGCATACTGTACATAGCATGTAGCTGATGTGGTTTCTGTCTGTCGCATTGGTTAAAGGGCAAAAGAAAGTACCTCTTTCTGTACCTCTCTCATTCCCTGAGACCCTAACTTGTGACTTTTAGCTGTGATGTGCACGGGTTGGGTTCTTGGGAGCTGCGAGGGGCACTCTCACATCTTTCTTAGCCATAACGAAAAAGGCAAACGGCGGATGGCGGATTCATACAAAGCATTACTACAGAGAAGACTTTTTAAAGCTTGCGAAGGGAACAGTAAGCTTTGATATGATCTGACAGTTCGGGAAAAACACGTAGCAGGAGAATATTATGTTCCATTCACAAATGAGTCCAAGGGATAGAACAACACGTGGGGAGGTGGGCGATGGAAATGGATTGAGGAATGTGGTCATGAAGAGAATGTGACCAGGACGGGATATCCAGACGGGCTCAGGCTCAGGGGAAACACACAGTCACGCTTACACTATCAGCGATTTGAGCTCATATTATGAATGAAGAATGTGTGACAAAGAACTCATCAAAAGTATCTTGTGTTGGCAAGGACCTATTTTTACAGTGAAGCAAAGGGTAGGCACAGCTCACCTCAAACAGGCAGTCGCCCTGAAAATGAAGTACTCGTATAATATAAATAACGATCAAACAAAAGACAAGCTCTTCTGAGCCCATGACCCTTTTGAGAGCAGCACAACGTACTGGTGAGAGCGTGACACTGACAGCTCAGTACACTTGTGTTTGACCTCAGAGAACTTCTCTTCTGTAATTGTTTCATCACAGTTAATAAGTGTCCTCATTTATGCCATTAGAATGTATACTTTGCTGTGATTGGTTTGAATCCACCTCTCAGTCACATTTATGAGTACATGTTCAGCATTAAACAGAACTGAATCATCATATCAAAGTAAATAATTTTTGCTTATATAGCACTTTTCACAGACAGAGTCATATAGACATTTGCGGGAGGCTACTGTAGTAGCCAAAGCTGCCCTGAGGCAGACTGACAAAGCAACGCCACCACTCGCCAAATTAATTCACATAGATTGCAACGCCTGGAGGAAACCCACTCAGACACAGGGAGAAACATGCGAACTCCACATTTTCCATCCAGTAAAGACTGTCACAGGAATCCGATCATAATGTGTTTTTTTCTCTCCATATCTCCATATAATCTGCTAACATTATTTTCTTGTGTAAATTTCCACTTTTTTCAAGACCCCTACATAATTCCTTCTTTTCCAGACACTCTAAAGTTCTCCCTGCATGAGCACTTGAATCATGCTTGATGATTTGTCCTCATTCTTTCATTATTTGTGCGTCAGGGTGGAGCTACAGTGATGAGGCTGAAGTACAGGTAGCGCTTTGAAATCTATTTTCGGCGTTGATTTGAAGCATTTTTAGCTTTGCCGAAGCCGCTGTCACCACAGATCAATTAGAATCACACGTGGTTGATATTGTTCAGAGAAGATTTGACATTTCTTGCTATTCTGCCATCACTCTTTCTCGATCCCTGAATTCGATTTTGAAGAACTGTTTACAACTTGAATATTGTCACTATTTTTAATGCTGGGATCAGTGCTGTATCTGTTATTAACTATATGTCACAGAATAAATAGCAACAACATTTATTTATTATTCATAGCGATGATTCTTGTCTCCTTTGTGTGACACTGGGTTCTGTGGGGCTGCTTTTCAATGAAGCAGGTACACAGCAGTCAGTCAGTATCAGCAGAAGATTGTTGTTTGTTTAGTTTCATTTGAAAAGTAACATCTGAATATTATTCTTGATGCAAGATCAAAGTTATGGCATTTGTTTCACCCTGATCATTTACTGCTTGGTGTCACACTCCAACATATTGACTTAAAATATATATGAAATATTCATTCACGAAACGGTAACTGGACTAAACAAAGATAATAATAGATTACTGGATCCCTAAACTCTGACGTCTTCCATTGTACATGATTGAGGAAGTTGGAGCCCTTTATCTTGTTCTATTTCAAAGGCTGGCTTCTGACAACCAGAACATTATTTCCATACTATAAACATGAAGCAGAAACACTGAAGAACCAGTCTCAATCAGGGAGTTGAGTCTGAGCATGTGACCTGGGTGTATTAGTCTGTTATTGTAAACTTGTCGTTGATGGGATTTTTACTATTTGTATTGCTGTTATGTTACACTGCATCTGCATCCTCCTGTATCCACTGGTGTTTGAAATGAAACTTGCACTAGAATTAGTCTCAGCAGCATCAGCAGCAGCAGCAACAGCAGTGTGCAGGTGTGTCTGTGCCTCCTTCCTCTCCCCTTCTCACTGCATTATGGCAACTCTATCCACAGGCAGCTCTCCATTATACTTGTGGTCTGGGTACCTGAGAGCGCTACGGTGGACACTGGCTCCGCTCTTCCCACCACACTGCAGCGGACTGAGGCTATATATCACTGTGCCACTCAGGAGCAGGTTCCGCACATGGCTAAGGTTGTCCCTGGGCACAGCTCAGTACAGTCTGCTGCAGCCGCCGCCATCTTGTTCCTGTCTGTGCTTAGGATCACTGTGTCTAAAATCATCATCTGAGCCCCGAGCATCTTCCTGTTTCCTGCACTGTTGTTTTGCTAAGAGAATCTTTGTTTCCTCATCCCATGTTGCAAATCCACATGATATTACTTCTGGTTTTATTTCTATTTTTAGCGGCTTTAATAGCCTACACTCTGTTCTACTAAAGTTAAAGTAGCAATGCTCTTTTTGAGAGGAAATTGAATAGAACAGATTTGCATTTTTAAGCTTGCAGCACTCATTTGATGCTCAGGGGAATTGACTTTTGAGGAAGTAATAATAATTTAGTTTTTCCTGTAATTGTATGTACTACAACTTTTTTGTGGCCCAACTGTACTAAAATGAATGTGAAGGAAAATGATGAAAGCAAACTCTTTATCTAGAATGAAAAACTAAGCTAAAATGCTTAGAACAATGCTTATTAGTGTGGATGCCATGGTGATGGATATAAAAAGTTATTTTAAGCAATTTATTTTGATAGTGTTTTGAGTAATTTTGCATGACCTTGTTTTTGAAGAGTGAAGAATTATGTCAGCTACACTCTGACTGCAGGTTAATGAAAGTGCTTAAAATCACTGAGCCGAGGACTGTGACTGCAAGTGCGGTCTTGTTTTAGCCTTACAGAAAATGTCCAACAAACATTTAACTTTTACTTTTCTGATACAGACTGATTTGGCAAAGAATCTGTTTTTTTCCCTCACCGCCGCAGTCTCAAGTTGTTTTCTGGTAATAAAACATGTGTTCTTGGGTGAATCCAACGCAACTTTGGTCAACCCTGCACCACTGTCAATATACCATGTAAACCCCAACATAACGACACCACTGTTACAGTTATGCACCAGGTGTGACAGTCTGCTCATGGTGAACTAAAGTGTGCTCTGGAAGTTTGATTAATTTTTTATTTACTCTGTATTTTGACCAATATAATCATCATCACATTATTTTCCTCTTAAGTGCTAACTGGCTAAGGCTAACTCTTTATAGCTGCTGTTCTGTCACAATGCCACACTGAAGTGAGTTATGTTTGAACCACCGCGGACAGCGATTGCATGACATGGTGTAGTTTGCCCGTGGAATGCAGAAAGATTTTGGGTGCTTGGTGATGAAGGCCAGATGTTCGAAATATGCATAGGAAGTGGATTGTCTGTAGCTACTGAGGCTGACAGTGATGCAGCCAGGCACCAGTCGGCTCATATCTACTGTATAATCACATTATGGAAGACTTTTGTTGAATATAACATGTATACATTTCAAACGGTACCTACGCTGTCTGCACCTTCAGAGATCAGCCTAGTGTTAATTCAGGCCCAGCTGGTATAGTATAAAGATATATAATTCAAGTATGCAAGGCATTCATCTGTTATTGAAGTAGATTGAAGCTGAATGTAATCTACTGCACAATAGAGAATGGGCATTTAAAATGAGCTGCTGGGAGCGTATGATCCTTATAGACACAGTGGGAGAGGGAGACATATTACAATGTTTGTGTATGAATTGAACCAACTCCTGACGTGTTTGCTAATAATACTGCAAAAATGACAGCTCACTATCTAGAGGTTCTTTATATAACATAACACTAGAAAAAACTGAACCTGCATAGGATTTTCTTTTCAATTGAGTCAGACTGAATATGTTCTATTGCCTGTGTGGTTGAGTTGTGCTTTATGGATCTATAAAAAGTGATAGCTATGCATACAGAATGAATCCCTGTTCTTGTAGCCCCTTTTCCCCTGCTCTCCTCATCTTACATGGGCCAGCACAGATCTCCTGGCGCTCAGCTTGTCCTGCGCACATACCGTCTTTTGTTTGGAGTCAGACGGCATTGAAGGCAGATCCTGTGGCCGTTCTGAAGGGAATGTTAATACGGGCCTCTGCTCTCTCTGGGGACACTCTGAATGGACTTGCTGATGCACTGTCACACTAGCCTATACTATAGCAACCCCAGTGCCCCAGCTAACTAAGGTAATCACTCAACTACACTACAGAAATTACTCCTTATCTTGTAAAAGTATTAACATTGTTTATATCGCTTCCATTCTAAATTCTATGTTAAAATGATGCAGTATTGTTCTTATGGTGCAGTATTAAGCTGCATTGGGTTGAGTAAAGATTTAAAACATAAAACAATATTCTTACACAATGTAATTGATAATTTGCCTAATCATTACTCATGCAGGAGAAAGATCAATCTTCACCTCCATCTACAACGTATGGCAGTCCACACAGCCATGATGGTACCTGTCTCAAACAGGACTAAGTCACATACCTGATCGACCTCAATAGACCTGTTACACTCACCGCCATCCCTGGAAAATGGCCTAGAGTGGAAATTAAACACATAAAACGAGAAATACCGCCATAACTTTACCCAGACCAATTTGCATACAAGGAGAACCTTTCAACCGAGGATACCATTGGCATTGTGCTACTGGAGCTCTCCAACACCTTTGCTTCTCTTTGTGGACTCTGAGCCAAACTTCACCGTCTTGGACTGAACACTTGTGGATTGTGGACTTTTCACAAACTGCACACAGATTAAAGGACTGGACAAGCAAACCCCTTCCACCCTTCTCACCAAGTCCCGTTGAAGTCACCTGCATGTGAAAGCCAGATCCTGTCAGATCTCTGAAGCTAAGCAGGACAGGGCCTGGTTAGAACTGTGATAGGAGACCTCTGAGAACACCAGGTGCCGCAGTCAGGCAGTTCTTGTGTCCTTAGGCAACACACTTCACCCACATTTCCTAGAATGAGTCGGTTGTGTCTATGAACGGCTGATGTCACATAATGGTTGCCTTGCTTTTGTCAGTGTGCCCCAGTGCAGCTGTGGCTAGTAGTAGTTTATCACCACATGTATGGAGTGAATGAAAAATGATATGTGAAGCATCTTTGAGTGTCCAAAAAAGCGCTAAATAAAACCAATGCATTGTTATTATTGTTAAGGCTGTGTTCTCACACTTGACAACTCTCCTCTCCTGCCTCCATCCTCATTGTTACATTTTCCAATGCCACCATCGAGCCCAATCTTATCAAAAACAACAACAAGATGGGTAAAAAGAGGTCCAACACCCGGTGTCATGATGTCAAAGTAATACATTCAGATAAAATGTTTTGCCACACACCATTCTCTATCAGCGGTGAGGTAGTGGAGCAGACCAACAGTGCAATAACTGATCTGGACCTGGCATTGTTGCACTGTATGCACTTTTTATCTTACTACGCAAAATTACTGTACTGCAACGGTCACAATAAATATTCTGAATGTTGAATGAACTTTCTCGGCTTTGGGTATAGATACCCTAAAGATGTCCGCTTCCCACACTTCACTTGATTAGCCTAGATTTACAAAAGAAACTTGTACAAAAGTTGTAGTTCATATATTCCTCCAGATGTTCATCTGTGCATCTACTTCATTCAAAAATATCAAATTAAATGTTGAAAATGTGATCTCTAACCCTTTTCTGTTGTATAAGTAAGTATGGCCCCAAACTTAGTTGAATAGAGATATATCTTTATTTGGTAAATAATCTATATTTTATGGTATATCTATATTTACATATAATTTCTATTACTTTGGATACTTCTAATATATATATATGACAACATAACCAAAAGTCTATTATTACGTTGCAGGTCTATACTGTACATGAAAATCCAAGTGGTGCTCTCCCTAGTGGTGCTGTTTTGTGCATGCTGACTTGCAGATAGCTATGAAAGGTCCCATATTTTGCTCTTCTTAATGATTATCACACATCCTAAGCACATGTGTGATAATCATTTGGGTGATACACCATACAACACTCAACATTTGTAGCTGGTATAGTCGTTTAAGACCTGAGATTAAAGTATTTTCAACAAAGCGACCGGTCACATATAGCCTTGAGGCCGAGATCCAGAATCTGACCCTAATTATTTAGTGAACAGAAGTATACGGTGAGTTGATAGTGCTGTGCTTTACAGAGCTATGCTCCTCCTAGCATCTTTTATTGTGGGATTACCACCATGTTTCAAGATCATCTTTTGAGTAAATCCAGTTTTAAGGTAAACATGCAGTCTTTGTTGAAGGGGAGCTCAGAGGTAGATCCCCGTGAATAGAAAGTGCAGCTACTACTTCTTCTTTGGCCAAATAATGTCACATAATTACACCAAAAACACATTTGCTAACACTTGTAGTCATAGACAATAGCAGAAAAACGGTATAGAAGCGAACACAGACGTGGGCCCATACGCTGGGAGAGGCTGTGTGCGCTGATTCTGTGTTTTAATTTCTCACCTGTCACTTTCCGGAGGCGGGCTTTGGGCATCTGTATGAATAGCACTGTAATGATGATTAAAGCAAAAGTCGAAAAGCGTAATATGGGACCTTTAATGTGAATGGGGCAGTTTTGCCAAGCACAGTTCCTGACCCCATTGCTCCTCGTTTTACTGTTGGTGTAGATATGAACCAGATACAAGCACATCTGACTTACTTTTACACTTTCTCTCTGTGTTTTTCAGTTGTGAGTGGGGAGAAAGCGTCCCAGTGTCCTCGCACTGTGCCCAAAGCTCCTTTCATAATGAATAGCAAGGTACGATAATAGCCTTCAGGTTGCCATAGAAATCAGACAGAGCCCCAGTATATGATGAGCTTCTTTTTTTCACTGATGACACAAGACTTGCACGGGGGAAAGGTTCAACTCAATGAACCCTGCTCCTGAATTGAGTTTTTTGAAGTACAAGAGTATTTTATTAAACTCGAAAGCATTCACTTTGAAATGCAATGGGCCGTTAGACTCCAACATTTACTTACAAGGGTTGCCTTAAAGGAGACACCAGCAACTTAAATTGCATTTCATTTTTAGACCACAATATACAATGACCACTGTACTATTACTATAAGTACTTTATTTAAAATAGTCTCTCCCCTTATTGCCATAACAACGACCAGTAAGACTTTATGAAGGAGAATAGTTCAACCAATTAGGGGCCTCAAGGATTTGAATTCATTTCGACCAATCAATGAGCTGCTGTGTTGAGCATGGGCCGGCCTAACCAGTTTCTTTAAAAGTTTTGCTGTCTTTTCACAATTTGAAAAGTTACAGACATTCACTTAATAATCTTAATAATAATCTTAATAATAAATCCTGTAACAATTTACAGGATTTATTGGATTAAAGTGCTTACAGTTTAACCAGAATCCAGTACTTATTTTAAAAGGCAAGGAAGTTGAGCTGAGTCAATTCTAAAAATGTTTGGCTCCGATGGTCAACAATATCATTCTAAGACACACTGCTTTTGTTGGCTCTTTCATGGAAATGTTACAATATTGTACTTCAAGAATGTTTGTGTTCAATACTTTTATATGTATTATTTGCTTTCTGATTGGATTTTGCTATTATGATTTAATGAAACAATGAAACACTATGAAATCCTTTGATCCTGGCTAAGGCTAAGCTTACAGTTATGTATTCGGAAGATGTACTTTGATAAAGCTGATTAAGTTGCAAAGGCGCTTAAAGAGAGCTGTGTCGGCAGTGAGCTCTTTAGGGTCACCTCTGTGGTTTGGAGCTCAGCGGTGCAACATCTTTTTAATAGATAGAAAAACACCCCATTTTGAACAAATAACAGCGTTTAAAATGCTCCAGCCTATTTCTATAATTATTTTTAAAGCGTTGTCATGATAAACATAATTCTTGAAGGCGTTATGCCACTAAAGCGAGTGCAGTAGTAAACTCTGTCAGTGGTGCAGTGGTTGGCGCTCTTGCCTCAGCAAAAAACTGCGATGCAGAGATTTGGCCTTTCTTCTCTTCTGTTGTCAGACTGTACAACAAAAAATGACCACTGGTGACTCTGTACATGTGCTTAACCAGTAACTGTGGTCTGACTCACTGTAAATATTACTCTGAAACCTCTGCTGCTAACGGAATAGTCAGGATCAGGATCATTTTTATTGCCATGTAACAGGAAGTCACAGACTCGGAAATTGCTTTAGCTCTCGGTGCAACAGTCAAAGAAGAGAGGTGAAGAGTAGAGTAGTGTACTTCATTTTAAGGGCAATTGTAAGTGTATTTATTTGACACAAATGTGGGTATTATTCTCTAAATATTAAAACTGTTTATTTTTATGTACCTAGTTTTATTCATATGGTTCTGTTATATGGGCAGGAACATTCTATCTACTTGATAATTAAACAAAACCATGGGAGTGATAAAGATGTTAAGAATCTATAAAAGTGTCTCCTTCTGATGTACCTACTGTAAATAAGCATGCAGTATCTCAAATGAGTCAGATCTCTGAGAACTATCCAGCCTTTTAGAACTATGGACCTGTTTTTCACACTTAGGTTTGGCGAGAGCGCGTTTGGCCCGAGTCCACGTGGCACCAAAAGACTGCAGCATTCCTGATGTCTGTGGCTAATCTGAGGTGTCAGTCTGTGTTAATGCTGCACGGACACATTCGAGGGCACATAGGAACTGGACGGACGGGCAACATTCAAATTTCATCCACAACATTCCTGCAGAGGTGGGCGTGCCGAGAGTGGGTCAGCTAAGGTTGAAGAGTGGTGCAGAGATGCTTTACTGTAACAGCCTCGCTCTGGGTTCAGGGGGTGTGGACAACGCCGGAGGGGACACACTTCAAAGGAGACACTTTTATACCTTGTCTCCCCTCATTGAAACTGGGCCAAATGAGATTTCGGCCCACTTTAATACCTGCTGTTTGAGAGACAGGATTGAAGATCCCGCAAAGGATAGAGGTCATATGTGCCGTTAACTGCTGTGACCCGTTAGATAAATTTCACCCCAATTGACCCAAAATATTGTTATATTTGTCCCTTGTAGTTTTGGTCGCCTGAGTTTTCCTCTTTATGGTCTGGGTTTGCAAAATAACCTTCACTGCACTGACCTGGCACATGCCTAAAGAGAGCGTTATCATGGAATATTTCACACACGCACGCACGCACACACACACACACACACACACATACACACACACATACACACACACACACACACACACACACACACACACACACACACACACACACACACACACACACACACACACACATACACACACACACACACACATACACATACACATACACATACACATACACATACACATACACATACACATACACATACACATTCACACACACCAAGCCGCCTGCGCACTGGTCGAGCCCCAGACCGGACATATTTATGTGAGAGTGGCACATGTGACTTGTGCTCTCAGAGGAATGCACCCGGGTCAGAGGTGCGCCACGTTCACTGCGGTCGCCTGGCAACAGGTGCTGTACACTGGCCACATCAACTTTGTACCTTTTGCCACAATTTGGGGTTTGAATGTAAAAAAAGTGATTGTCATCTCACTGTTTGTAGCTCTGAGCTGTTTATCTGTTTCAGAAGCTGATGGATCAACCCACAGTAACATTATACAGTGTAAAAACCTTCTGCCTAAAGTGAGGTTGGAGACAAGTTGGTTGTTTTAGACAGATATCTGTTTGCCAAGGTATTCCTGCTGCCTCCTCAAAGAGGCCCCTCCGTCCTGAGGGGTCAACAAGTACAGTCCATTTCCCACAATGCCTCGGAACAAAGAAAAAACTTAAATATTCAGCCTGTTGCTTTAAGATGGTGAGAGAGGAGCTGCGTTACCCAAGACAGATGGGGAACAGAAGGAGAGATTTTAAACTGTGCTACACACAAACGTGTGTTTCTGCTGCTGAACTGTTAACTTACCACCATTAGTATCCTCAAATTATAGGTGTTAGTTTGCTACTATACATTTTAGAAAAAGACTTGTGTTGCTAGGAGAGCAGAGCTTGAGGCTTTTCTTTTTGGCCACTGGGATAGCCCAACGAGAGCCCTGCCCCCATCAGTAATGTGGAGCTACCCCAACATGCAGAGCTGATTAATATGTCAGACATGTTTTATGGCTTAACTTGAATCAGACGGCTGCATTGAAAAGACTGCAGCAGTGCTGTAGTGTTTTGTGTAATGCTAAGAGTGCGTCAGAGGGAAATACCACTGTCATATATCGCACTGGAAGGTCAACACTCGGTCCATGAACTTCAGAATAATCTGTGCGTCTAGTCTATGTCATTCCATTGTACCATTTTAAGTTATTGAAGAGACAAACATGACCAACCGAATGTGTTGAAGAGGCATCCTGTCATGTAAGAAATGTAGTGTCAACGATCATTCTTCATGAGGACTCATCAGGACTTTGTAGACTTAATCAGGGCTGATTGTTTTTTTTGGCAATTTTGTCTATTAATTGGTGAGTGGCATCTTCATCCAAATATTGTATGTATTCATAACATTTCAATTCGAAAGATATGGGGAAAAAATGACAAAGATGTGAAGATAAGGGTCTCATAAAGATGTACAGTATTTCAGTTTTTAGGAAGAAAATACTTGTATTCATAGTTTGTGTAAGCTCTCAGTCGTACAGGGATTAGTCAAAGCAAAGGAAGGTTGTATTCATAGTGTTATGAATATCTACATAGTAATTTAGTGCTTTAGTTGTGTTGCTTGGAGTTGGAATAATGGTCTTCAGTGACAGGTCGACTGCAGCCCGATGGGATTTATATCGTTCATTGTATATATCTGGACCGTCGAAAATACCAAACACATAACACAAGACAAACTAGAAAAGCACAGTGCACTGCTAGAGGTGCTTGGCTCATTCAGCAAATACTCCGGATACAAAATTAACACATCTAAGAGTTCTATTATGTTTCTAAACCAGGAAGAGAACTTGCACCCACCTGATATAGTCTCCCATTTTACTGTGGGTGACTCATTCATTTATTTAGGCATTCGAATCTCCCAATCACTTCAGGAAATTGTCGACACCACTTACAAACCCGTCATAGAAGAAATCACCAAGTCTTTGGAAAGATGGTCAGCCATAACAATAACACTGATGGGTAAAATCAATAATTTAAAAATGAATATTCTTCCAAAACTATTGTATTTGTTTCAAAATCTACCCCTACCGCCACCAAGCAACTTGTTCACATGTCTAAACAAACAATTTAACAAGTACTTATGGAACAACAAACGAGCCAGACTACGGCTGTCACTGCTATACCTTCCATATGAAAGAGGAGGCTTAAAGTGCCCAACTTTGTTGTGGTACTACTGGGCAGCACAATTAAGGAATATGATGTTTTACTTTACTGAAGACAACGCCCCCTTGTGGAAACAAATGGAGGAACAAGAGTTGAATCTGCCCTTTCCTATTTACCTGTACTCGGCAGAAGAAAAAGGGTTGAGAAAGAAAACCAGAAATCCGATTGTTAAAAACATGATTGTAATTTGGAATCAAGTCAGAACTTTTTGTGGAGAAACGCCATCTTTATCACTATTCAGCCCAATTTGGGGAAATGAGAGATTTCCTATAGATAGAGCCGATAAAGGATTTAAACTATGGGCAACCAAAGGGCTCAATAAAATTCAAAAGCTCTTCAGTCAGGAAGGACAACTATTTACATTTGAAGACATTATTAGATTATATGACATTCCCCGCAATCACTTTTTTAAATATTTGCAAATAAGGAATTTTATAGGCACTCAGCAGAATAATTCTATCGATCCCCCAGAACTTTCTCCACTTGAAAAATGTATGACAAGGATGTGTTGTAAAAAGGGTTTAATCTCTAGTTTATATTGTCTCATAACTGATAAATCAAAAGAATCCTCCACTAAAAGGCTAGAGGGCTGGAAAAAAGATCTGAAGGGGGATTTCTCTGTTGAAGATTGGAAATTAATATGCACCAGATCACAATCAATCACTATTAATATAAATCTGAGAATGATACAATATAAATGGATTATGAGAACCTACATAACACCTGTTAAACTAAATAGATTCAATAAAGACATATCAGATCTATGTGCAAAGTGTGGTACTAAAGGTACACTGCTCCACTGCCTGTGGAAATGCAGGCAGATTAAAACATTGTGGATAGAGCTAGACCCAAAACTTTTGATACTTGCAAAATGACCACAAAATAACAAATGGAATTTAAAGGATTTTTTTTTTTATAGAACTATGTTTGGTTCTGGCAAAGAGAGTAATCGTCAGGCATTGGAAAGATTCCTCGGGGCCGAGTACAGGTGAATTCATAAAGGAACTGATAACTACATTACCACTTGAAAGAATTACATATACAATTAGAAATAGGTTGCAACTTTTTCATGAAATTTGGGGACCTTTTTTGCGCTACTTAGAAAGGCCAGATTCAACATTGTTCTAGGTATACATAACATGGAGCAAAGTGCACAGTGGCGGAAGTATAGGGGGAGAAGGGGAAAAGAAAACATAAGAAGAGGTTCCGTCCCTTCATTCTTTATTTTATTCTTTATTTTATAAATTCACCTGTATGTATCTAACAGTATACGTATTCATGTGACTGATCTATGGACTAGGAGGTCTATGCATGTAAACAGATACACTTTTCATACATTCATGTATGTAGGTGTGGGCACATGACAATGTTATTATTGTTTCCTATATTTATTTACTTATTTGTGTACTTAATTATTATGACTTTTTGATTTATTTTTTAAATATATATATTTTTTGTATTACATATATTTTTATGTATATGTATGTATATATGTATGTATGTGTGTATGTATATGTTATATGTTTATATGTGGATCTGTATGTATGTATGTATATATATGGATGTGTGTGTGTGTATGTATGTATGTATATATGGATATGTATATATATATATATATATATATATATATATATATATACATATACATCTATATATTATTTTATTTTATTATATTAATTTTATTTTTGTTGTAGATTTTATTTACTTTGGATCAAACGATGTGTGTATATGGAGTGAGGGAGGGAGGGGGTGGGTTTAGGGGCGAAGGTTTGTGATAGTTGGTATTTTTCTTTTTTTTCCACCTTTCTGTTTAATATGTTATTATGAGACAAACAAAAATACCAAATAAATACAATAAAAAAAGAAAAGCACAGTGCAGACTTCCACCAAGATAAACATTAGAAAAATACAAAAATCTTGGATCCAGATGTTGAGCCACTACCTTCAAAATGGATCAATTTGTTTCTTGTCCCATTCCAGAGATAATATAAATATATATATATATATATATATATATATATATATATATATATATATATATATATATATATATATATATATATATATATATATATATATATATATATATATATATATATATATATATATATATATATATGATTTTCTTTATCTTTTTTGTATAATTGTACTATAGTGTAAGACGTTCAACCATTACACCCAAAATGAAAGAAAACTGATCTGCTCAGAACAATAAACATCTGGAACCTTATTCTTGTCTTCTTGTTTGTTTTGTTTGGCACATAATATGGAATCAAGTCTGCACATGGACTGCGGACTAAAAATAATGACGTGCTTTTCAATCTGTAACTTTTATCTTTTATAAATTACTGGACCCAGCTGATTACAAAGCCTTCAGAAAATGGGATCCATTGAAAGAAACAAAAACTAAAACATAAAGACTTATATTTTCCGCAATCGATGTGAAAATATAGTTTTCAATCAGATAAAAATCCAGTGTCTGTTGAAAGGTCATAATAAAGATAGTTATAGTGATGATACTCAAAGCTGTGCTGCCCTCTTGTGCATCGTTTGGGCATTGCAAGTGCCGCGTTCCTGTGGAACTCTTGGAATATTTAAATTTCGGATTAATCTTTAATATTCCATAAAAGGTTTAATCATTATTAATACTGTGTAATCCGTACATTTCTCATAGAAAAAGGGAACAGTTTTACAGAGTTGTTTAGCCGAGGCTGTTCAGCTGCTCATAAACACTGTTTACAAAGAAAGCAGTCACAATACATGCAAAAGAAATTTAATGGATATAAAAATACAAAATGTAGTAAACTAAGTATAAAACTGGACTGAAATAATATAATTGTTTTTTAACACCTTCATTATTAAACACAACAAATTATTAAGTTGACATTCTCAAATTTTTTGCACCATAAAATGTCACTGAGTGAGCAAATATAAACGTTATACTGTATTTGAACTCTTGACAACAGCAGAGAATACTGTGAATGTAAACATGCTTAAAATAGTTCAGAATATGTAATAATCTGCAAACACAAACATGATATAAAGCCTTGGCCTTTTCCCTTTAATTATACAAAGATTAATTACAGGTTTAATTAACTGGCTTGGCTTTGAAATTTCAAATGAAATATAGTGGTTATAAAAGGCAGTGGTGAAGGTATTACAATTGGATTAATGAAATAGTAGTTTCAAAATATGTTACTAATGTGCAAACAAGCATAGTAGAAAGTATTAAGCATATGAGAAAATATTACTCAAGTAAGTGTAAAAGTATAGAGTAATTTAATGACTCTTTAAAAGTAACGTTATTTGGAATAAGCTGCTCCATAAATGTAAGTGCTCCATAAATGTAAGTAAGGCAAGTGTTTCCACTGCATCAGTGAAGGCGTTTAGGCAGAAGCACTGAAGGCCCCATGGAAGCCATAAGGGATGTTTACAGGCACGTTGGCTCTGCCCAGCTCCTCAAACGTCCTGGCATCAAGAACCAGGAGGAAAGTCCCTTTTTCCTAAATGAAGAGTTATTCTTGTTAATCATGGCAGCAAAAAAACTCATGTAGATCCCCAGATTAATGGGGATGATTGTGGTGTTTCTTACTTGTGTTGGAGTAAGAACGACGGACAGTATGACTCCATCGTCCTCCTCAGTGGCGTCAGGAGCAGGAACGAACACTGGCTCTGATGGGTAAAAACCCTGCTGCTGCCACACCTGCCACAACATTCAATTTGATTCAAGTGAAATGTATATATGTTTTTAACTACAGGCATACAGTAAGTTCTCTTATGAAATCCTCTCTGCCAGCACTCATTTCTAATCATTCTTTGTCCAACAAGTTAACTATAGCTCTAATGTCCTCCATGACCCATTCTGTTCACACTCTAGACTCAGGGGTGCCCAAAACATTTTTCTGCATAATGGTAAGACAGTACCTTAAAGGTCTTGTTGCTCAGATCCATCTTGATGAGAGAATCCCCCACCAGGTGTCTGAAGCCACAGCCGTAGTAATAGCGGTATGGTTTGGAGTTACACCTACGATAGTTGATCTGAGGGAACTCCAGGCCCCCATAGTCCACTAAGTCGTCTCCATGGAGATCCTCATGTTGACAGAAAACCTAAAGAAGAGGAAAAGATATCTTTGTTCTATGAATAGAAATATTATCTGATAGGCTTGTTCTGCCTTATTGCAGAAGTACATGGTGGGTTAGCATGTTAGCTTCTGTATACAGTGTATGGAGGAGAGACAGCCAGAGTTCCCTATCCTCACACAGTTTGTCCAGTTCATCCAGGTGATTCCTGAAGCATTCCCATGCAGCTGAGAGACCATGTCCAGCATAAAGTAAGCGTACTTTATTGTCCCCATTGAGAAATTTGTCCTCTGCATTTGACCCATCCTGTAAGTCACTAGGGCCTCCTTCAGCAGCAGCGGCCATTGCAGTGCAGCGTCCCGGGATCCATCTTCAGATGTTGATGCTCAGGTCAGTCAGGACCATAGCTGGAGGATTGTAATGATTTTATTGTTCATGTTTTTAGTTGTAGGGGAAACTGGGGCACCCAGAGGAGAAGTACACCGATGCGGGAAAAACATTCAAACTCCACTCCAAAAGGCATTATTTTGACGGGGATTCAAACCCAGGACCTTCTTGCTAAGAAGCGATAGTGCTAACCACTCCATGCCGCCATGCTGTATGAAGATCTCTCCACCCTGGAAAGGGCAAGGCACCTTTTACCGGCCCATTGTAAGATGTTTTAATTTGGTAACCTTCTTATCAGTTCTGTGCAGAGTTTGTAAACAGTAATGACCTTATCTTTGCTGACTTTGACACAGGTGGCTTCACTGTTGGGCCGTGAGTTGAGGTTCTGGTCTGTGGGTGTGTCGCTGGTCACAATCAGAGGCAGAACAAAGCGTCGAGGAAAAGGCCTGGACAGAGTGTTGTACACCTGAAAGAATAGAAACAAAACAGCTTTTGTTTTCATGTTGCTAAAGCTGCTAAAATGCCCTCTGTAGTGTTCACACGCCAACACTTTAAAATGCTCCTGTTTTGGAGCATTGGTTAAAAAAATCTTTTAAGGTAAATGGTTGGTCCCGGTTTGTGATAATGAAACAGCACATCTGTTTCTGTAAAACTTACTTTTGAATGCTTCTTTTATTCCTACTGTTCTCAAACTGTGTTGTAATGCCAACATTTCCCCTAAGTATTACTTTATACTTTCAAACACAGTAGGCCCATAGTGAAATGATGCCATAAGCATACTAAAATATATGTTATTATTGTCGGTTGAAATGGTTTGAGCTTGAAGTTTTGTATGGCAGATAGATAGACACTTTGGTGATTACTGTAGGAGAAATGGAGGCACGTTTGCCAAGCCAATATTTTCCAACTCATTTCCAAGTGTTGTCCCTACAGTAAGTCTACATTGTGGTACGTTATATGAACTCACAAAGCAGCAGCATGTGCTCACCTTGTCGAGGGCTTCTCCTGACTGGCGCAGGTTCTGGATCAGATAGTTGTTAATGGCGTCTCCATCATCTGCACAGCACAGGTCAACCATCAGGAAGCCATCCTCCTCAAATGCATTGATCTGGTGGAAGGTGGACATGGCTTTGGTGTGATACTTCACTGGATTCACCTATGGAGAGAGATGGCATAAATGCAGAGGAATTATCCATTCTGTGCAGAGTCTTTCAATAGTATAAGTACAAGGACAACTCCACGCCTATCATCGTAAGCATAAAACTGTTTTCTTTTGACTGAATGGGCTGTATATTTCTCCTGTTTGCCCAGCTTGTCCCCAAGCCATGCTGTCATTCTTACTGTTTAATGCACTTTCTGCTTTCTTGGCCATACTCCACTCTAATCGCCTCAGCCTGGATGTTCGCTGCTGTGTGGGTTTTCACCCCGGATCCAGTGGAGCAACGGCAATGAAATTAATTTGTGTCTAAATCATTCTGAGGAGAAATATTGTAAATGAGTAACCCTAAAAAAATTACACAGACACAGACACATTGTGCATGTGTCTGTGCTGAAAACATAATCCAGATGATGCAGTAGAATAACACTTGGACGTGAGCCCTCTCTTTTATAACATGCGTCTGTACCTCGCCTGTTTTCTTGTTCACTACATGAAACACAGTATCGAGTTTAGGATCCCAGTAGATGCCTTCGCCAAGAGGCCTTCCTCTGAGCTTGCATGTGATAATCTTCAGGAGGTCCATTTTAATGGGTTGTTCGATGAATACCACATGGTTTTCAGACATGGCTAAAGAAAAGACCAGGATGAGTTTGTAGACCTTTGCTAGAAGCACATGTCAGTGATAGTATTGAGCAGGTGGGACTCACCAAAGCTGTGGTAGTATGAAGGATGGGACTTGTTAGCAGGAACAATGGAGCACAGGACTTTAGCTCCTTGCAGAGTGTCTGTTGCCTCTTTCTTCTCTGGAGGTACGCAGATGATGTTGTACAAAGCTCCTGAAGTTAAGTAAGCAATCCATCAAGATTCATTCAAATATGTAACACAAAGTGCTTTCAGTTCAGAAAACATTGACCAATCAACATTGACCCCCAAATCCACAGACCCAGTCATACAACTGCCCATCCACACAAGCGCTGCCAAAAGTTTAAAATATATATCATGTTTGATAATCCATAGTGAACTGCAGTGGGCAAGCAAGCAAACGTACCCTTACTGCCGTAGGAGTTGCCCATGTTATAAGCCGTGCCATCTGGGTCATAGTGTGGGTGTGCAGTGGCTCCATTTACAGCAATGAACTTGCTCCAATCCACCTAAGAATGCACAACAGTTTATTCCCTCTGCCTACAGCCGCTCACTTACAATTCTCTCATTTTCTCACCTTCTCCACAGTATTAAGGTTTTCTGGATTTACTCTGTGCATGAAGTTGGTTTCTGTGCTGACATAGTAATCTCCTTTGTAAGTGACAAATGACACACTGGCGTTGTCCGTGGGTTCTGTAGGAACATTTAGTCCAATAAAGTAACTTAATGTTATGATATTTACAGTTATTCAACAGTCCAAAAGTCTGTCAGGATCTGTTTACTTTCCCTGAACACACACTGCACCATGTACCTTTAGGCCATCTATATTTAGGAACTGCTTTCCATGGTCAACACCAGCGTGAAAGCTCACTATTTTAGACTCCAATGTCAAATAATCAGAGTATTAAGAATACAAATGTAGAAAGAGGGCATCACTGTACACACCTATCATTTCAAACCGAGAGAGAAACCTCTGGAAGAAGTTTTTACATGGGTCAGGCATGGCCAGAGTCCCAAACTCTGACATTACGATGCGGTCTCGCTCGCTGTTCTTCTTGTAGGCGTCACTCTGGAGGAAGCGACTCATGTAGGTCACCTGTCCGTTTTGGATGTTGTACTGGTGCAGCATTGCCATCCCATCAAACCAGTGGTTAAAGCTGGGAGGAGAGAATGGACCTTCAGCGCTGAGCAAATGTTTGAAAGTGTTTAGTGCAGACTCACTGAGTGTTTCCAAACTCAAACCTCCCCGGGCCGTTGCGCAGCAGCTTGCCCTGGATCCATGTGGGGATAGAGCCTTGTACCTCTGTAGTGATGTGCTCTGGTGTCTCCTCCGCGGAGCGCACCAATGAGGCTATGGTCTCCAGGCCCTTCCTCTGTCTGCTACATTTCTCAGGCTCATCTGCAGTTGAAGGAAAAGTATGTGGAATAATCAAATGATTTAGAGATCCCTCCTCAAAAATGAGGAGATGATGAAGTGTTTGTACAGTCCCCCTACAACACATGAAGTTCACATAAAGTTCAGTCCCTGTGGGGCTGGACTGAGCACACATTTCCTTTCTTTTTGCACACCCTGAATGATCCTATTTATCCCAAATGTGACATGTCATTTATTCCATTGTGAGATCCATAAAGTTGTATCTGATCTTATATTATGATCTCAAGAGTATTATTCATATAAAGAATATAAAGAATGTCTCATGTTTTTATTTATACTAAGTATTTAACTTGTCCTTTATGTCTTGTAAAGTTTAAGAGCTCATTGAAAATTATTATTTTAGAATAAGGAAATGACAAGGGGCAGTGGCTTCACAAAGAAACTAGATTCAGCTTTCACAATTATGATTTTAGACATTTTAAAGAGAATAATCCCAAACAGCAGTTTTTATAAACATCTGCATTTAGTAACTGCATAGACATGTTTGTTTCGTTGTGAGACACATTCCACAAATTAAAGACCATGTGAGCAACAACTACTGATATTAATTATACAGTAATACACAGAAGAAGGTTTAAACCATCTCCATATAGAGATGTTTGATACAAAAACATCAATATATTTAAGACATATCTGTATATCACATTTATGAAAACTGTACTTATTGTGAAATCCTGTACTTCTGGCCTGGGCGGTCAGGCAAAATAATGCACACAAAATAGCAAACACTAAACCTGCACTGTTTTTGTGGTATCTGCCAAGTATAGTTTTTATCCCACAAACAGTGAAGTAGTATGTTCTGGCCTGATAATGTTTACATGACCATGCTGCGATTAAATTAAATTAAATGATGCATAATACATTGCCTACGGGTTTTTTTTTAAACGTGTTAAAACATTACCATTGCATCACTATGTTACCTGGATTATAACTTTACTTAACCTGGTCTATGGTGTTTCTGACATGTATAGAAAGCAAATAATAAGAATAAGTATTTAATAAATGAATTACTATTTGAGTCACAATATTGCATGACCCTTTGCATTAGTTTTCCGAGTTCCATTCCTGTGGTGTGTTTTTACTTTGTTACATCAGCCCAAAATGACATCAATGTCACAGTCACGTACAGTTCACGTACAGGAGGCGCGCTCCTGGGCAGAGCCGTGTGACTGTAGAACCAGTACAACTCACAACACTTCTGCATAAACCTCTCTCTGTGCTCGCGGCAAGAAGTACATGCACTACAGTTATTTTACTTAAACATTGAAGAGTTTTTACGCATCGTACCTTTGGCTGTAGACATGGCGGTGGACGACTGAGGCGTGCTCCTCTGCCTCATGTAGACTTACGTAAAGTGTTACATAATAAGTATGCAGTGGGAGGGGAGGAGGAGAGGCGCTGTCTCCACATCTTCTCCTGTATCTCACACGAGTATACACGCACACGGACACGCACACGTACACTCACACATTCGCGTACCTACACATGCACACACACACACACACACACACACACACACACACACACACACACACACACACACATGCACACACACACACACACACACACACATAGAAATGATACTGGGAAAAGGATGGGATTCTGATTTGTGACGGTAACAACATCCACGACATTATGAATGATTCCGCAGAAATATGTTGTGTATGTCTGTAAGATGTTAATGGAATGTCGTGGTCACGTGTGTATGTTTATAATAAAATAATGAAAAAACTATTCAGACTAGATTTGCACTTAGATTTCTAACCACTAGAGGACGCGCGAGTCATGTCTAGCAGCAGTGCTGCATAGTTCTGTAATTTAAAAAAACAAATTATAATATCTATAAGCTAACATAGATATTTTATCTCATAGATAGTATTAAATCTGCACTAGACATAAACTAAGTGGCTATAGCAATAACAATATTATTTGCATTACTAGAAATATTGTTAAATAGAGTTATTTAAAAAAACAAAAATAATGATTAACCATAAACCATTTAGTTTCTTGGATTGGTAAAATTCCTGTTTGAGGAAACGTCAAAAACCCGCTTCCGTCTGCCCACATGGGCCTATGAAGGCAATTAGATCAGGATAATCCAGATTACAACAAACCAAGAGCGCTAGGACATGTTAACCACCTGCAGCACTGAGGCGTCCGTCATGAAGGTAAAACACTGTTCTGCCGTTGATTATTATTGTTTCATTAATTCCACATCACTCCTCCCACAGACAGTGCATTAACATAGATTACTTTGAGCAGCAGCATGTTGAATTAGTTTGGATAAAACATGCCAAATATGTAGCGTTATTCATGTGTCAAATCAATTAGGAATAGAATGTACGATGTACATGTTTACAACGGTTGCTAAGGAGTTTATAATTAGTTTATAAAGTAGTCTCTTTACTCATGTTCTTGAGAATGTAGTGGACAAAATATATACGGTTGTAATAAAATATGAGTTTGAGTCATGTGAACAGGGTTGCAAACTGAAACACATTAGACCAGGGGAATCAATCTCATTTTGGTTGTGGGCCAAATTGAAAAAGATAAGATCTGGTTGGGGCCAGAAGTATAAAAGTGGTTTACGTTTATGACAAATTAACAATATTTGACATGAGTTTGAATGTTATTTGGGAAAAAATACAATATAATAAGTGATATATAGGAAGACTGATCTATCTTATGTACAAATGTTTTTAATTGTTTACTTCACCTCCCCCCTCCCACCCAGAAATGGATTAAGGGGAAGAAAATGGATGGCTGGATACTTACTTGTAATCTATTATGTGTGATAATTCATCTTATTAAATGGTTGCATCAAAATAGATGATTGAACTGTAGTGTGTTTCGCAGGAGGCTTCTTCCAGATGGCTCTCCTCAGCACGGTGTTGGAGTTTTTAGGTCACTCTCGTCTCATTGGCTGCATCGCTCTCTTGGCTTGGCTCATCCTCTTCCATCTCCTGGTGAACGTGTGGCTTCTGTGTATCTTCACCAGTTTCTTGGTCGTCCTGGGGGGCTGGCTCGGCCTCCGAACTTTACTGGACGCTAACAGCCTTTTGCATTTAGAGCACTTCCTTCCACTGGGTAAACTGACCGCTCCTGTGTACTCTCCTGAACAAGAGTGGAGGTTAAACCATGAGATCCACAGTGCAGCACATAAAGCTGTGCGGGATTTTGTGTCATCGTGGTACCGCACTGTTCTGCCCGAGGTGGAGGGCGAGTTTGAGCGGGCCGTCCTCAACTGCATGCTGGAGTCTGTGATGGAGCTGAAGGAGCGTGCAAGGAGAGTGGACAGAAAGGAGTTTATTCAAAGGCTGCTTGAAGTATATGGATGTCATCTGCAAAGCTACATGACAGCTAAACAAATACAGTCGTCACACAATAAAGACATCAGCCTATGGGAGGTCTACAGCGAAGTAGACCAGCCCCATCCCGCTGTAGGCTCGGATGAACGGAGCTACTCCAAAGCCCTGGTCAACCTGGTCTTACATGTTCTTGTGCCGTATCCTCAAATGGAGACTAGAACTGGTAGCTACATGGTCACTGAGCTCATCACCTGCAATGTTCTCCTCCCACTGCTTCACAGAGTGGCTGATCCTGATTGGCTCAACCAAACCATAGTGGAAATCTTCACCAGGTCCAAAGCCCCTCCAGAAATGACACCGCTGCTGACTGAGACGTTATATCAATATCCCATTCAGCATGAGTCCTGGGTCACCTGCTGCTCCCTGTCCTCAGCAGAGCCCCCAGGTTTGGTCTCCTCCAGCCTGTCAGATTCTGAGGAGCAGCTAACTCCTATATCATTTTCTGAGGATTCCCCCCTAAGCTCCATGCTCAGCCTAGTGTCCAGTGACAAAACAGACAGTGGTCCAGAAAGCACGATGGCACAACACAACACAACCTGCTGTTCATTAACTACAACCAAATTCTCTAAAGTCCACGAATGCAAAGTGCCCTCTGTCGTTTCTCTTTCTCAATCAGATTCTGATTTTGAGCTAACAGGTTTTTGTCATTGTGGCCCATCCACCAACTTCTGCAAAGCCATCAATTTGGAAGAAGATGAACCATTTGGATGTTTTGGACCTCTAAAAAATCTGGGACCAAAACAGGTGGCTCCAGAAGAGTCTCTATGGCTCTCTGGCGTGCCCCAGGACAAATCACCTCCAAGAAAGTGCGATCAACCATCGGACAGCCCCACCCACTCCCTTGCACCCGTGACTATCCATAATGTTCATATTAGTGGCACTATCACAGCCAAAGAGCAGCGCGGCACAAGCTCTCATCTCTTTACTGTCTATATTATAAAGGTAAGACCGAGTGTATTTATATGCAAATCCACACTGCTGTATTTCATAATTCTTTGTTTTGTTTTATAGTTTGATACAATAAATGTGTCTGAAAATGGTGCCACTGAGCAAACTTTCATCACTCACACAGTCAACCATAGATACAGCGAGTTCCTCAACTTGCAAACACGACTGGAGGAGAAGCCTGAATTGAAAAAATTGCTTAAAAGTAAAACATTATCAATAAATTTGTTATTTTAGGCTGGAAATCTAACTTTCATTGATATATTCTGTGTTTATTAGATATCAAGGGTCCCAAGAAGATCTTCCCAGACATTTCCTTTGGTAATTCGGACAGCGAGAAGGTGGAAGCCCGTAAATGCCAGCTTGACTTCTTTCTCAAAGTAGGCTACATAAATCTGAAATATGAAAAGTTTAACCATTGCATAACTTGTTTGTTTTTTTCCAGCAATTGAGTAGTTTTCCAGAGACGGCCAACAGCGAGGACATGCAGGAGTTCCTTGGCCTCAACTCTGACAGCTGCACGCATTTTGGAAGGAGACCCGTCGGCAAATCCAGGATTGATAAGGTAGCTCTAAAACTCCCGTTATTTCTGGAGTATGTGAAAGATGTGAGTTTTGTGTGTTGCCAATAAAGATGATGGAGAATGCACTGGACACTTTGAAGACTGCTTTCCCCTACCCAGACCTGAGCCCAAATGAAGACTCAGACGTAGACACGGATGGAAAGATGGCTGAGATGAGGAAATACAGGTGATGGTTCGTTCCCAAACTCTCATTACTTTTGCTCAAAGTTGTATTTCTCAGCTTACCTGTCGACGTGCCTGCTTTTTGCTTGGGTTCATCTAAATGTTGTTTTCCCTGGATTTTTGTACACGTTGTCATTATTACACGTTTCATTTTACGTTGGAAACAATCAACTTCACTTGGCTAAGTTAAAAGATCCTTTATTTGTCCCACAGCGGGGAGATTTCAGTGTTGCATCACCAGGTACAGAACAGTAGGAATGACGAGCACACAGCACACAATAAATGAACACAGCTCTATACTAAACTCCATGCTAGATATCTGTATACTAAACTGTACTATTTGTGGAGAGATGTGTCTTTTTACAATGAAAAAATCATTCTGATGGACATATACTGTATACACCGTGTGGAGTGAAAGAATAATGACTATATATATATAAAACCGATGCATTATTATTAGTATCATTATAATTATTTGAAGAAGCACGTATCAAACCACGTCCCAAAAAAGTAGGTCACTAGACTCAGGACTGATGAGGAGTGTACCTTTAAAACAGAAGGTACCTAGCTTCTTTTTGTTTCATAAATATGTTTAGTTTGGTGCTACAGAAAGAGTCTAGTAAACATAAAACATTGTGTATTTTGCAAACTTAATAAAGAGCCACTATTTGACGTTTTGAACTTGTTGCTCTTTTTCACTTTTCTGTCTGAAAAAGTAGATCTAAAGACGAGCCAGAACTACATTCAAGTTAAATCGAGAATAGAAGCGAACATTTTTAGAGCCAGGAACTAATTAGATGATTTAATTACAATAATATACTGTATTATAACGTTGATCTTTGATTTGATCTAATGTGGTTTGAAAGTTTGGTACCCAAGCTTTAAGAAAGGCAAAAACAAACAAATGTAATTATTGGATGTGAACATGTGTGTCTGCATTAGGAGGATGTTTCAGAGCAGGATGTCGACCTCGCTGAACATTTCCGAGGTGCCTCCGAAGGTCACTTACTGCTATAGCGCAAACTGCAAAGTAAGTCTCAGCATCAGTTCACTGGTTTGTCACAACATTTAGAAAAGTTATACTCTTATTTTGTTTTTAGTTGCTCAATGGGATGACACTCACAGGCCTGGACCACTTTGTGAAGGAACAAGAGCAGAACATTTGTAGTGTATCTGAGAAAGAATCCAGGCTGCATAGTGAGCAGTGTGATAAAAACATTTTGACCTGTGGAGAAAACAGCACAGGTTAGTGCAGCTCCAAAATGTGTGTAAATGTAGTATCATGAAGCTACCACTAGTGGGCAGCAAATATCTGATATTTGTTCACCTCAGATACAGCTGTGGCAGATGTGGCCTTAAACATCTTGTGTCTGTTGATGAAGGACCAGTGGAGCTGGTTGTGCACTGAGAACATCCAGAAGGTTCTCCGACTGCTCTTTGGCACGTTCATAGAGAGGTACGCAGGCGTCTGCTGCGGGACACTGCTCCCACAACAGGCTGCATGGGTTTGTCCAGAAACATATTGTTTCAACAAAAGTATGGTTTGCGGGAGCCTACAGTTAGATGGGATTTTTTTGAACTACTTTCCCATAACACAATTTCCAAAACATGTTCCACGACCTCCCAGTTGTGTCACTGGTGGTGGTCCGTGGGAATATTTGGAAATAAACCTCTGTTAAAGCTGACACAGCTAACTTGTTCCATAAATACAACAACATATTTGAACAATTTAAACATGTGGTTTAAAAATTATTTTAGGGCTTTTTAGGTTTTTTTCTGTAAAAGTTAATCTAAAGATGTGACAGAGGCCAAAATACATACAGTACATGTGAAAACTAAGGATAGAACCAGGCTGCTTTGAGATCCAGGAACCAGTGAACTTGTACATAGTCCCTTGTGACCCCGCTGCCCAGGGACCACAGATTAGAAACAGCCTTTGGCTACACTCTGGTGTCTGGTCATTAACATGCACTGTCCCAGTCAAACAAACAAAAATATATAATCTGATCTTGGTGACTGTCTTCAGGTGGCTGAATGTGGGGGTGGCTCACCTGACGAGCGCCCCCTGCTGGGTGATTTACCTGCAGGTGCTGCAGGAGGCAGTGTGGCCTGGCGGCACGTTGCCCGCACAGCCTCGACCTGAGCGCAGCGCTGCTCAGAGGGAGGAGACCAAGGAGAGATGCCTGGAGTGTCTGATGCAGCTCATGCCACGTATGAGACTTATGTATTTCTATATCCATTCCAAATGTACATCTACCACCTTAACGCACACATGACAGCTTTTTATTTTCTCATTTTTATTTTCTCATTTGGAATAATCTCTTGAAACATAGAGGATGTATTTCACTACGAAGAACAACAAAAATACAGGAAGTAAAACCATGTTCTTTGGGGACATCTCATGTTATTTTCTCATGTTACGTTATATTATCCTCTCCTTAGATTTTAGAATATTCTTAGGGGCAAATTTACAGTCACCATAGAGAAGAGCAGAGAACATACAAACAAGTCTATGTTTAAACATCTTGGTAACCTAATTTATTGTTCATACTATTCTATTCCTTTTCTTAATAAAGAAATATGAGGAGTAGAATGTGCAAATATTTGGGTTTAAAAGTAAGGTTGAGAAGTTATAATTAGTTAAATACTAAGATACTATGAAAAAGTAAAGTAAAATACAAATGACTTACCACCACTGATTCCATTATAAGTTATTTTTTCACTGAGCAATGAACCAATTACTACTTGCATCCATCCAGAAACATATCGAGACCCATTTCAAATTCATTGGAAATAATGTGTGTTTTGTGCCGGGTGGGATTCTGGGGGATTCTTCGTATGAATCAAAGGGGGCCCAGACCGCAGAGAAGCCGAAAGTCCAGTGACGCTGTGCGTCCTTCTCTCAAAACAGCTCCGTTACTGTTGTTTTCACCCACATATTTCGTCCACAGAGCTGGTGACGGACATGCTCGGCGCTGAAAAGTTTCGTCTGAGTTTGGAAACAGTGCTGGAGTCTTTACAGGCCTATCAGATAAACAAGTGAGTCAACAAATGAACCACATAACTTTAGCATCACTACAAAAAAGGATAAAATATGAGGTAGCAATTGCTGGGATCGAGTGTTTTTTATCTTAATTCGAGCACATTCTTAATACAATATTTGCCAATAGGACAAGAAATTTTGTCTTATTTGTTGTATTTTTTTAAGAACAAGATCATTTTGCTTTCCCCATTGGCACATCTTGTCCTAAGGCAGTGAAAATGTGCTCAAATTAAGATACATTTTGCCAATTTTGAGCATTTTTTGTCATATTTGTCATCACTTTTTGCAGTGATTAACCAATTACAGCCACCACGAGTACCGTCACGCTCAGTACAATACTACCACTGCTGCTGGCCAGTGCTCATGAGAAATCAAATTACGCTTCCCCCTCTCCCAGTCTGCATGTCTGTTGGGAGGCCTGTTCCCACTGACCGTCGCAAAACATTTCCAAACATTTATCACACAGTCACTCCGAGCACTGCCAAAGAGTCCTGGAAAAACAGCACACTCATGCATTCAGCACCTGTTTCTGGTAACTTAGCTGTTAACTCTCATAATTGAACAAACATTGAGCAAAATTTTGTCCGAAAGGTCTTGAAGGAAAATGGATATCGGTGTACAAAGGACACAGGAAAGATAAACATGAAGAAGTTAGTGTTAGTTCAGAGATAATCACAATCTGATGAATAACTGAGTGTCTGTTTCAGGAAGAGATTATGTTCAGATATTTTGTTCTAAAATCAGTACTTACAGAAACTAATCACGCTCAGATGTATCTAGAATTAGTGAAAGTTGACAAAGAGACAGGGAGAGCATGCAAACCACACACATAGAGCAACATAAAGGGTCAGAATAGGAATTTTTGGAGTCATCTAGCCAACTTCAGCTCCACAAGTATAATAATAATAATAATAATAATAATAATAATACATTGCACTTATATAACGCTGTTTTGGACACTCAGAGACGCTTATAGCCATATGATACCTTGTTGAAAAGCTCTGAACCTCTGGAATCCAGTCGTTAACTTTATCAATCCATCAAGTTTATTTATAAAGCACAAGTCCAAAGTGCTTTACACGGACATAAACTCATACACATTTTAAAACATAAGGTAAAACAATAATGAAAAAAGAAAAAAAAAAACATTTCAGACTGAATGTCAGAATTAAAACTGTATGAAAAACTCAATATATGAAACTAATATAAAAGTCAAAGGCACAGCTAAAAAGATCAGAATTCAGCTTAATTTTTATATAATCATTTATTTTTGAATTTGTCAAAAATTTCCATGGCACTAATGGAGCAGTGGTGTGAGTCAATATGGACACATCATTCCTAATTCTAAAGCCCAGAACAGTCAAATGAATCCAAATCCAGTAAGTGGCCCTCCTAATTATATGATATAGACTCCTTACACGCAAAATAATTTGGATGATTATGGCTTACAGTAAATTTATCTTATCTTACAGACCATTTTCAGAATATTCCTACTATATTTCTGAGAGGTTTTATTTACCAATTATCAACTTAACAACAAATAAATGATTGATATATTTCACTTTGCTTGTAATCAATCTATCCTTTATTAGTTTCCAAATATATTTTAAATTACAGTATTACAACGATTTTCAGGCCCGTATTCACCTGTTTATGCGTTAATCAAAGCAGACAATAGTGCATTAGGATTCCTCAAAAAATCAAAGGGTTAAGAGTGCTGTGTGGTACAAGCGTGTAAAAATATTTAAAAGACCAAGTGCTCAATTGGAAGAAGGGTGTAACAAAAAGTGGAGTGTTGACTTTCTAGGTGAAGGCAAATTGTGAAGAGCTTAGAAAGTCAAAAAAATCCAAGGCACTTGTGGCCAATAGTTTAGAGAGTTTAAAAGCTTATTTTAAATTCCAGGACTAGATCCAAAGACATGACATTACATATATTCTTGTTTATTTCCTGCCTAATCCATTTGATGATGTTTCAGGCATCTGCTGTACTGTGTGTGTGATCTGCTGGTGGAGCTGCTCATTCCTGAATCCTGTAATGAGTCCTTTCAAACGTCGTTACTACATAGACTTGAAAAAGACAGTGAGAAAGAAAGAAATCACCACACATGAGCGACGGCGTCTTTATCTTTCAAGTCACTTCTCATCTTCTGGAAAAGGTTCTACCGGTGTATGATTTATAAACTGTCATTTCATCAGTGTTGGCCTGTAATGCACTGTGGGCCTTACAGACAAGATTTAAAGCTCAGCCTCTTCAGACATGTTATCTGCTCAAAAGCTGTGTTTATTTCACTTAATAAATATCTGCCATTCTGAACATGTGTTTCTATTCTGTCGTGCGATTATCCCCCATTCACACAAATCATGCACTTTTACTCAACACAGCGTTTGGGCCGATGTATTCAGAGCAGAATATAGTGATGTACTTGTTCATGGCGGTTCAACTTTAAAAAAAAAATTAAAATGAAAAAATACTGGATATTCTATATTCGGAGTTGAATATAGTACAGTATAGTATAGATAGTATGTTTGTTTTTTTTCATTTTAAATTATGTTTTATGTGTATCCCCAGGTCAAAAGTCAACATGTACAAAATTTTACTTTTGAACTTTTCTGGACAAAAGTTAAACGTATAATGGATATTAGGTCCATTCATACCACATCATGTCATATCGCTCACTGTCTGACATTTCCTGTGTTTTTATGTTTTTTCTGCCCTGTGCTGCTCAAACGAATTGCCCGTGGTGGGATAAATAAAGTAGTCTGAATCTGAATCTGTCCATAATATTTATGTTTACATTCTTCTCCTTGTTTTGGCGAGGAGGATCCAAATTGGGAAATAATGTCAAGGGACTTTATCAATCAATCAATCAACGTTTATTTGTAGAGCGCCTTTCCTACACAAGGCAACGCAAAGCGCTTCACATCCCCTATCACATCATGCATAAATCAAACACATTAAGAGCACAAGATATATTAAAAACATTAAAAATAAAATCACAAAAATTAAAAACCTTTAAACATTAAAATCACAGATGGGACTAAAATCATAAATAGTCACAGTGCATTAAAAAGATTAAAGATAAAAACAAAGATGAAAAGATAAAATCATTCAGTTGTATATGCGCAGCTAAACAGAATTGTTTTGAGCCTAGATTTAAAAGATGCCAGAGTAGACGCCTGTCTCACATTCTCAGGAAGACTGTTCCAGACTCTAGCCGCATGAATCTGAAATGCAGTTTGCCCATGTCTAGTACCGACTCTGGGCACTAACAGGAGTCCAGTCCCTGTGCTCCTCAGAGTCCTTTAAAGACAGGGAGGTTCCTTTCTATATTAGTCCTTTAGCAAAGGGACCTGGGGACGTTCCTAGTGCAGCGAGGAGCAGGTTGGAAATCCCAGCATGCATCTGGTATCTCAGCCCAAACTATCCACGTCACCATCCCAAACAGATCCAGGAAAGCCGATCTGAAGAATCATCCGTAGTTATGTTTCACTTATAGTTTAGACTCATTTGGGTTGCCAGTTTGTTAGGTGAAATTTAGCTGGTTTTAGCTCCATCTTTTTCTGTATAAATAATAACAAGATTTCATAAACTAAAAAATAGCACATTTGTTTAAATGAAAGAAGATTAAAAAAGTAACACACAGAGTTTGTCCTGCCTCTATGTGTCTCAGACAAGACAACGTTCATGTTGTTAAAATGTCAGCCCCGTCTTCCTATTCCCCGTTTATGGTCCCACAGTGACTTATGTCAGGAGCACTTTGTCGACGGAGGAGTGTGGATGTTTTGAAATGAGGGCTCGCTGACACAGGAGCGCGAGGTGGTGTAGGAGTCCGTAAACTTACACACTTTCACAGCTGGAATGTCAGGTATTCACCGACCCCTCTGCTGATGCACAGTAAATGATAGTGTTGTATTTTCTGCGATTCTGCCACAGAGACAGCGGCGACGACCCAACAGATGTTTCTATAGTGGACTCATTGCACCTTTGGGCTTTAGGGAGGAGAAATTTAAGGAGCTTTCGGTTCTGTGCTAAAGCAGCTGTTTGAGCCAAGGAGAGCATTCTCTTTGAGTCTCTCTGGGACCTTCACTGAACTTATACTTATCACATGAAACTGCTGACATTATTAATAAGATGAACAGGCTCAAGACTCACTACTACAGCTGTGTAATGTGGGAATGAGCACTAAAAACAGTAGTGACCACTGAAACCACAGCACGGAGGAATTAACAAACTCACAGCTGCAGAACGAGGCCAGTAGGTTCCTCGAGGAAAATTCTAATGAACTGGTGACGTACGTGTGGTCGCTGCTCAGACACTTATACACGTCTATTTTTCTTTTTTTAGAGCATAGTATGTTGGTTTGACAGTCTATAACCGAGACAACCATAAATTATATGTTTAAAGTGGTCTGTATTTAAAGAGTGACCAAAAATTAGCTCGCTGGATTTTCAGTTAAAGGTGGGATACCTACGTTTTTCCCAATAACAACAAGGAATATAGAAATAGGACATGATGGCTTAGTGGTTAGTTCTCGTGCTTCATAGCAAGAAGGTCCTGGGTTCAATTCCACCTCCAGACAGGCCCTTTCTGTGTAGAGTTTGCACGTTCTCCCTGTGTCTGCGTCGGTTTCTTCCAGGTGCTCCGGTTTCCCCCTAGAACAAAAAACATCTACAATATGTCCTTACAAAAGTAAATCCCTTTGTGACTCTATCTATAAATGGCAATGGCAAACAATGTCATTTGACTAAAGTAATGAACCACAATGTTGTTAAAGACAAGATGGTGGACCTTAGAGGGTGAATGGATTTAATTACACACACTGCAAATATAAGTAGTACATGCTTGAATACGATGCTGTAACAACTAGTAACAACTACTTTTTTAGTGGTTTGAAAGTCGCGTACTACAGCTTTGAGTGAAGTTTCTAATAACACTAAACATTGAATAGGAAAATAACATTAGGAGTACTTCTAATTGCCAAGAGATACTTCACAAATTTACAAATTTTAACTATTGTGTCATTGAGAGCTGACTAGAGACATTTTAGTCATAGTTTTATCAAAAACATGTTCAGACTGAAATGCAGTCGCCAATGCTCTTGATTGATGGTTCTTTTTGAATGGAGGTTTCTCTTTAGTTTATAGTTTTTTGCGTCTGGTTTGTGTCCTTGGGTGCACGCTGCAGATGTGGTAGAATCAGCCCTAGTGTCTTGCTTCACTGCTCCACTCGCACACACACACACACACACACACACACACTGGAAAAACTCATGAGAGCAGGAATTTTGGGAAAACATCAACATATTTCAAACGCAATACTGCTTCATCCAACTTCTGCAGTCCTCCCTTCTCTGTTTTTGGACAGCTCTACCAGTGAAGTTTTGTCCGTCTGGCCCAGTTCACGTCAGGACCGGGAAAGACGCAGAGGAAGTTAAGGTTGTTATAAATATTAGGAGAGTGGTTGTACAAGTTAGGAGAGTTTTGGATTTTGCAATGTGGTTAGAGTGAGAAGAAAAAGCCAAGTCTGGGATTGTGTCTTTAATTTAGACATGTTTTATTGTCGATGGTAGACAGCACAAACAAAGATGTTACAGAATGCATGTGGTGTTAAACAGGAAGAATCATAGACCATCCAATCAGCAGCTGCCAACGTGCCAGTAGTTTCATCCTTGAGATAACCAAAACATGTAGTGGAAAAATACTGCCTCGTGCATATTATTAAAATGATGAGTTTAACTTTAACCACAGTTGCTTCAAAGTGTTATGAAATCTCCAAAGGTGGTCAGAGAGAACGGCTGAAGCTCAGTGCCCTGGTCAAAGGCCTCTCTAAGGTCAAGGTGCTCTGTTTGGTCTCCTCTCTCTTTGTCTGTGTTTAAAATGGACTTCACCACAAATGACTATGTTACTGCTCAGAATAGGGACTTTCTTCAAGCTCTGACAAAATATTTACAGATTACTCTCTTTTTTGATTCAGTGTAATTACAGTAGGCTGTAATTAGTGGCTGACTCTGAGTGCCTCCTCAGACCTGAGTCTAGTGCCCATAGCTGTTTAGGACATTATCAGAGTGACCACTGTATTAGCAAGCGTAGACAAACACCCGGATGGAATCAAATCTGATGAGCGGATTCTTTTTGGGTCAAACTTAAACTAGATAATGTTTCTTCTTGCAGCATGACATCTTCTGTTCTTTCAAAGCTGTAGGGGAGAGGAGGCCTGTCTTCTGTGCAGTTAAAGCCGTTAGTGTATGTTTGGTGTTAGCTGTGAACACAGCCGACACACGTGAAGCAGCTGATAACAGGACAGTGGTATCCTCCTCCTCTGTGGGAGTTCTGCACAGCAGATGTCCTGGGGCGATGAAATGAACCTCAACCATGTGAACTCATGTGTTTTTTGCCTGTGAAATGGTCCATTGATAGACGTCTCTTAAAACCCTACATTATGCAACATGCTAGTAAATTTCTTTACTCTTTTAAAGATAGACTTTCTATCATGAAGGTAGTTAGAGAGTGCACTCTACAATGTGTAAAAAGTGACATGACATGTCATTTTAATGAGCGACAATGTAGCCACAGTCAAAGAGTGCAGTAGAAGTACAGTTGTATGAATGGAATGGGCGTAAAAATACAAATGATACTAAGAATAGTAGTAGTAGTTTTTTTTTTTTTAAAGATGCGCCTGGAAAAGGCCAGCTCTAAAAATAGCTGTTTTAAGTAGCTCTAAAACAGCTGTTGTTTTGTGCTTAATCAATTTTTATTTTTTTTATTGCTTTTTTCTGCCTGAGATGTTGCTGCAGTGCAGTGTTCATGGTTTTACACTGGTCCAGACTTACATGGTCCGAACCAAGTGGATCAGGTGAAAATCCACCGGAGGAATGCTGACTTTTTGAAACATGCTAATGAAGCATTTAGTATTTTACTTTGGACTAGAGCAGAGAACATGGTCTGAACCAAGAGGCTACTCCACCTTTTGACCCGTCGTGCTCCACCCAGAGGCTACTCCACCTCTGCTGCTGCGACCTGTCCTGCTCCACCCAGAGGCTACTCCATCTCTGCTGCTGCGACCTGTCCTGCTCCACCCAGAGGCTACTCCACCTCTGCTGCTGCGACCT